ATTTTCTCACTGTCCCACTGGGAGGTCAGGGTAGGTCATGAGAAAGGTGGGGTGGGGTCTGAGAAGACTTGGGACGTGAGACGACTAGAGGAGTGCCGTCTCTGTGAGACTTGGGCAGATTAGGGGAGCAGCAGAGCCTCGCGCTGTTTCTAGAGGGGATTTGGGGCCGGGAGAAGTTGAGTTTCTCTGTCCTGTCCACATCGTCAGGACTTCCTGCTGTTCTGTAGCCTGTGTGCAATTGATTTGGGTCCACAAGGCCTTGGCGCACACCCAAAGCTGGAAGCGGATGCTTAGTAACTCCACAGTAGCGCCAGGTGTTCTGTGGATCCAAAGGGATTAACAGCTCCAGGGAGGCTAAGATCTGATTTCTGGGGGATTTCTGTGAACTGAAAGTAGAAGGGCAACAGCAGTTGGGTGAACATGCAGGTTCACCCAACTGGGGAGAATGAAGCAAGCACTCCAGGCCGGGAGAGGCGACTTGTGTACAAATACAGAAGAAAGCAGTTTCTAGATCACAGACTATCATCTGCTTACTATTAATGGGGGAAAGGAGGGAAGTGCAGTGTGTGTGTGTGTGTGTGTGTGTGTGTGTGTGTGCGCGCGCGCATGTGCTGGGCTCGTTGTTTTGTAAACAAGTGAAAAACTAGAATGCCATCACCAGAGTCGGCAATGTCCTTCGCATGAGATATACTCCCTTTATTCTTAACCCTAATGAAGTCCTTGTTAGAATTTGTATCTTCTTTTAGGCTTAAATAAGGGCAGACCCTGAGGACCTGGGGAGGGTTCAGAGCAGCATTGTCTAGTAGAAATATAATGTGAGCCACATGTGTGATTTTAAAATGTTCTAGTAGACACAGTAAAATGGAACAACTGAAATTTTAACTAAAAATTATTACTGAGATTTTACATTCTTTATTTTGTACTAAGTTTTTGAAATCCAGTGTCTATTTTTACACATAACACGTTTCACTTCATACTTGCTACATCTCAAGTGTCCAACAGCCACCTGTGGCTACTGGCTACCATCTTGGACAGGACAGGTCCAGAAGAAGCACAATGCAAAGCTGTAAAGTGGTTAGAAAATGGGGACAGGAAAAAAAAAAAACCATACCTAGAGGGGAAAAAAAAATCTGAGGATAAACAGCCTGCAAAATGAAGGGCTGATTCTTGTGATGGATAGTGATGGTTTCCGTTTCCACTGAGGGTCTACCCCCATGCCATGTCTCCGTCCCCTGAAAAAAAACAAAACAAAACTGGTTTACATTTCAGTTATGTAAGCTATTTCACTTCAATCTAAACAGAGAGAAATTGAGTCTTAGCTAATAGAATAAATGTTTATCTTGACTTCTTCCTTCATTTATTCAATAAACGCTAAGTGAGGCACTCAGTCATCCCTACCTCTTAGGAATGGGGTTAAGTTTGTACTATACAGATGTTAAAGCTATGATGATGATTATCCTTAGCTTGGGGTATGGCCTGAGACCAAGGAAGGTACAAGGTGGGCCATCAATATCCCTTTCAGTACTATAGTTCACAGTTAATGATTGGATGCTATTGCCATACACCGTATCTTTTATATAAGGAAATGTCTTTGAACACCTAGAGTAAAAAGTATTCAAGAAGAGAAATGATAGATAGTGCCTGTTTTCAGACAAGGCAGAAATTGGGTATTGCTATCATAGTTACACAAGCAATCGAATCATGATTCAAGAGGGAGGTGGCAGGTGGTATATGGAGATTAGACGTCAAAGGGCTCAGCTCTCACACTACTTTGTGCAAACCTCACAAGGTCAGGTCCCAGCCACCTGGCAAAGGCCTTAATGTCCTGAGACATTGTAGAAGAAGCATGAAATGGCCCCTTTCATTTTATCCCTTCCTTTACTTCTGTCAGAGTCTGAGGTGACTTGTTTGAGTGACTGCAGTTTAGAAGGAGTTTAGAGAACTCAAAGACTCTTCCGAAAAGGGCAAGAGTATAGAAGTGGGGCCAGGCACAGTGGCTCACGCCTGTAATCCCAGCACCTTGGGAGGCCGAGGTGGGTGGATCATTTGAGGTCAGGGGTTCGAGACCAGCCTGACTAACATGGTGAAACACCATCTCTACTAAAAATACAAAAAAATTAGCTGACTGTGGTGGCCCACGCCTGTAATCCCAGCTACTTGGGAGGCTGAGGCAGGAGAATTGCTTGAACCTGGGAAACAGAGGTTGCAGTGAGCCCAGATTGCACCTGGGTGACAGAGCGAAACTCCGTCTCAAAAAAAAAAAAAAAAAGTAGTACCTGGGATGGAACTCCTCTGAGCCTTAAATTCCTTATTCTGCACTCCTCAAGTCAGAGGGTTAGTACAAAAGTCAGGTATGTAAAGGACCTATATATCCTTGTAAAATATCAGGTTCTTTTTACTGTATTTGATTCACTGATCCTCTTTTCAGCACCAAATTGTTTGCCAGATAATTGATTCCAGTCACTCCTTTGGGATGAGTGAAGCTGAGTGGAAGGATGCTAGGTTTCTGTAAGCTATGGAGATCTTGCCAAGCGATTGTCTATATCCTCTCTTTTTTTTTTTGTATTGCATTTGACCTGAGGTCATGAGGCCACCAGCTAGAATTTGGAAATATTTTATTTTTTATGAGAACTTTTGTTTTCATGAGGTGTGACCCAGACCACCGGTCTTGGCATACTGTAGCCAAAGAATCTCAGTGTAGGGCAGTTGAGGTCCTCTGCACCCTTGCTGCCTAAAGTTGGTCTGTGAACCAGCAGCCTCAGTACTACCAAGTAGAAATGCAGAATTTCACAATACAGTCCAGGTGTATCAAGTCAGAGTCTACATTTTAACAGGGTCCCAAGTGATATGTATATATACATTAAAGTTTAAGAAGGATGGCTCTACAATATCCCAATTAGTTATAGTCCACAGCAGCCTCAGCTTAAACAGCTGCCATGGCAGCCAACTCATTTCCTCTTGTGGCAGCCCCTTGTATTGTTGGATTGTTTGGAAGTTCTCCCTTCTGTCATGTTAAAATCTGCATATCATTATCACCCACTCAAGGTGCCCAGAGTAAGTTTCATTCTTCTGAAAGCCCACATAGAAGTTACTTGGAAATGTCCATTTCTTTCCTTTGTGATACGGACACCTTAATCCAGAGGCGGTGAGTGGAGTGTGGGTGGTAAGTGGAGCCACACGAGGTCGGCTCCCAGTCACCCGGCAAAGACCTAACATCCAGAGTCATTGCAGAAGGAGCATGACATTGCCCCTTTAGTTCTGCCTCTTCCTTTGCTCCTGTCAGAGTGCAGGGTGACTGGTTTGAGTGGTTGCAGTTTAGAGGGGGTTTGGAGAACTTGAAGAGGCTTCCTGAAAGGACAGTGGTATTGAAATGATGCCTGCAATGGAAGTTAGTCCTGCAGGGCTTGCTAACGGATGAAGACATTTCCAGTGGAGGTGAACAGGAGGGGGTGGTCTGGTGGAGGGGAAAGAGCAGCCAAGCCACTTTACCTCTTACTTGCTGTGTGATATTGAGGAATGCACGAAACCCCTTTGAGCATCAGCTTCCTTAGTTTTTAAAGAAAACAGTGACAAACCCTGTCTTTCCTGACTCCAGGGTTTCTGAGGGACTCACTGAAGATGAGGTCAATGAGCACACTCTGTAAAGTAGAAGATGGTCTGAGGATGAAAGACAAGGTCAGATGGGACAATAGATGAAGCCAGGAGAAAAGCCTACCACTGACTTGCTGTGTAACCTCAGGGGAGGCTCTCACTCTCTCTGTCTCTCTGTGAAACAAGTGGGTCATACACAAAAGATTTCTAAGTGTGCGTCTAGAAGGCCCTGGAGTTGTGGCCTATTGCTTTTTTTTTTTGAGACAGGGTCTTGCTTTGTCACCCAGGCTGGAGTGCAGTGTTGCAATCATGGCTCACTGCAGCCTGAATCTCCCTGGCTCAGTTGATCCCAAGCAGCTGGGACTACAGGTATATGCTGCCACACCTGGCTAATTTTTGTATTTTTTTCATAGAGACGAGGTTTTGCTTTGTTGCCCAGGCTGGTCTCCAACTCCCAGGCTCAAGCAGTCCTCCTGCCTTGGCCTCCCAAAGTGCTGGGATTACAGGTATGAGCCACCATTCCTGGCCGGCCTGTTGCTATTATTGCATGTTACCTGGAGGATTTTTTCAAGGTTGGCTTTTCAGGGTATTTACTTAGAAAAACTTCCTAGAGCTTAGAATTGAATCCTCTCTGGGGGACATGGTTCTAAACACTCTTCTAGTGAAGGCCTGGCCCCTGCAATGGAAGCCCCACTCAAAAGGCGGGTCTGCTTGACCATGTGTTTCTGTGTCAGCCTGTGGTACCTGGGTTGGTAAGTGAAGAGTGACAGTTTTGTCACACACAGTCCTATTTCTGGAAGCAAGCTCTGTCCTACAAGCTATCTGAACTCATCTCATACCTCACCGAAGTGTGTCATTTGCAGATTTTTCCAGGGGAATGATCTTGGTTGATACTTCAAATCTTACCAAGGAAGTTTTCAAAATGTTATTCCCTTTTCTAAGTTTCTGAAATACAGCAGACCTGATGGTTCTACGGGCCTGCTCTGCTAGAGGGGCCTTCCTGTCAACAAAATAACCAAAACTGGCTTTGGGTTCAGCAGCCTTCCCTAGATACTTACTAGCCGAGCGTGAGGGGACCACTATGTGTGAAGGGACATGGCTAAGATGGCCTTTCTGAGTCTCTCTCCTACCAATCTGGGGACCCTGTGTTGTTCATCCTCACCTCACTGCAGCCATGTTTCCAGTTTCCCATTTCATTTCCCGGATGCTTGCTTCTAACTCTACATTTGCATTTTCTTCTGTGCACCCACCGTGTTGTTGTGGAGACTTGGTGGCCATAGGCCGCCAGTATCCGGTGTCATCCAAGCGTGATGGTGTGGTACGTGGATTTGCTCATGCTTTTATTTTGAATCCTTTCCAATGTGACATCTGCTAAAATGTCTCCCTTATAATTTGCTTGGTGATCACAGCTTTCTCATCATTCATTGAGAGCAGGACCTGATCTCACAGAATCTGAAAAGAGCTATGTGGTAAGATGCCTGTTGAATAAGACTGCAGCCTTTCCAAAGAGAATTTTTACTGATCCTGCTTTTGGAATCTAGACTAGAATGATGCCTGGTTAACCCACAGAAACATTATTTACAAGAATTCTGTGGCTATTGTAGTAGAGCGAGATGTTAGGCCACTCCCTTACCCCCAGCCCTTGGTAAAGAGCAGAGGAATTTAGAGACAATATTTCTACTTTGCCTATATGTGGGATTAAATTAATGTATTAGTGCATGATCGGGGATACATACTTGCATTTCTACCCTAAAGTATTCCATTTGTAACAGTTACTCACTAATTACAGGCTTTTATGCTGCTTCCTTTTTTTTTTTTTTTTTTTAATATTCTTACTAAATTCCAAATTCTTCTGTATCTTACCTGTTTTTCCATGCTTACGCCTGGATCCCTCCTGCACTCCACTACTGGAATATCTATTTTTTTAACCTGGATCTTCAACTCTGTTTTCTCCCTGGACTTATGTGCTTCGTCTGGAATGTTACATCTCTTCCTCTCTTTCTTTTTTTTTGTCCCCATGTTGACTGTTTTATTGGGGTTTCTGGATATCTTGGGGCCACCTCACAGGAAGCGGTTTGCAATGAGATCATAAACATTGCCGAAAAATCTGTTCATTACTGCGGCACTGTTTCTCATCCCCTTGACTTTCATCACAAGGTATCCCCTTCTGACAATAAATCATCTTTAATCATTTCTCAGCAACCTCAAGCCCAGCAGCGAAGAGTCACCCCCGACAGGAGTCAAACCTCACAAGATTTGTAAGTACTCCTGGTGAACTTCAGTTCTCATGTTCCCAGAGGACTGTTGGTCTTAGAAAGCGGGTCACTGGCTGAATATGGGGCAGTTGTTTGCAGAAATGAGTGAATTACTCCCAGGTTCTCTCCTAAGGATTTCTAGTGAAGGACATGTTCCGCATCAGCCGAGGTGAAAACAGGTGGCAGGTAAATAAAGGCCGTCATAGACTGCTGGGAGAGAGAGACAGATAGATTAACTGCTGTAGAATGGCAAATGAGAGCTGTGCTGACTGATTTCAGTGCTAGTGTAGCAGGAAGTTAGAGGAAGGAATGGTTAATTCTGACCAGCCATGAATGAAAGGGTTGCTTCATTCATTCATTCATAAAAAATTATCGGATACCTCCTATGTTTTAAGCACATAGGAGAAAACTCTGTGCACAGAGAAAGAGAGATTTGGACCAAGCACTGAAAGACAAATTGGTTTCTGAGAGCTAGAAAAGGGAGGAAAATATCTTCCCAGAGGTGAGGACCACATGTGCAAGGGCATAGAGTGGGTGTATTTGGAGAACTTGAAAGAGCCCGTGTAGCTGCAGCATATGCTTCATGGAAGAGATAGAGATGAAGCTCAGAGGTGGGATGGGACCAGATGGTAGATTCCAGAATGCAGTTGAAGTAAGTTTGGATTTTATTCTGTAGGTACTAGGGAGCCACTGAAGTAAGGAACATATTGATCATATTTTGTTTTAGGGAGATAACTCTGGCAACAGAGTGGAGGGTAGATTTCATAGACCAGGGACAAAGATGTTTGTTAGAAGACATCAATCCAGCTAAGAAGCCATGAGGGCCTGAGCCAGGACACAGTGGGCATTTTGTAACCGTCGAAGTGAGTATGATTACCAACAGAGATACAGGTGAAGAAGCCTAGCCAGCCACAGAGACAGAGAAGGGGCAACAGGAGATGCCAGTGAGGGTCTAAAGACGTTCGCTTTCACAGAACAGCTGCAGCATCTGGTCAGCAGTGTCACCTGCCCAGAGAGGCCAAGAGTGGGAAATGAGAAATTTCCACCAGGCATTTTCCATGGCAATTGGAAAAATCCCTGGTGACCTCTGATATGGCAGGGTTGGTGTTAGTAGGGGTGGCAGCAGGTGCTGTGTTAGGAAGGGTCGATGGTGAGTGGAAGGCGGGGGGCTATAGATCAAGGGAATAGCAGAGGCAGGGGAGGTGTTTTTAGGGTGCAGAGACAAGCACATTTGTACCAGAGTAAAATGCCAATTAACGCAAATAAGATCTAAGTGAGGCCAGGTGCTCACAGCTGTAATCCCAGCACTTTGGGCGGACAAGGTGGGTGGATCACGAGGACAAGAGATCGAGACTGTCCTGGCCAACATGGTGAAACCCTGTCTCTACTAAAAATACAAAAATTAGCTGGGCGTGGTGGTGCGCGCCTATAGTCCCAGCTACTCCGGAGGCTGAGGCAGGAGAATCGCTTGAACTCAGGAGGCAGAGGTTGCAGTGAGCTGAGATTGCACCATTGCACTCCAGCCTAGAGATAGATCAAGACTCTGTCTAAAACAAAAAGGAAAAAAAAAGAAGTAAGTGAAGGAAGAGCCCAGGAAGGGGGTTCAACATGGCTTGGAGAAGGGACCTTTCTTTCCTCATGTGTGGGAGCAGAGGCAGGAAGGTGAGTGGAGGCACAGAGACTTAAATCTGGAGGGGAGGAGGATTAAGGTGCTGCGCACAGCAAGCTTCCAACTCGAGAAGTGGGTGTAGAGTGAGAGCTCTTGGCTGAGCTGGGGACACCAGGATTGGCAGGAGAGCTGGGGGAAGGACCCCATGGGACAATGTTCTGAGGAGTATGAGGTTCATCCCAAATTAGAACTGACTGGGGGACCCAAGCAACAAGAGTGTGGGACTTTGTCCAGCCAGTCTCCACTGTCTGGGAGTGAAAACAGAGAAGCAGATATTGGAGTTATTTCCCAGGGCTGAGGCTGGCAAAGCAGCCATGGTGGGAGTTAAAGGGCCCAGGCATTCTAAGAAACTGGCAAGAGCATGTTTTGGGAGGCCAGTAGGGGACTCCAAATTGAGTAGGAGACAGCAGGCAAATACAGAAACATGAAAAAAAAAAAAAAAGTATTTACCAATTGGAAATTGATCTTCATCTCTTAATTCCTCATTTGAGACCTTCCTTCTGGCAACCAGATCCATCCACCAAATTATCAATACGTTTGGATAAATATGGAAAGTAAAGTTGTCCCTTTGGTTTTAGCAGAGAAGAATGAACCTCTCGTTCCTGGGAAGTGACTCCACTTGCTTGTTTCTAGTCTTTCTTGCTCGCACACTGGAATTCATTGACATCTACTGGAAATGGTAGATGATTGGCCCATTTACAGTTTTGCCTGCTACTGTTGTGTCTCAAAATAATAAACAGAGTTGTGAAGTTGGTGCATAGTAGGTGCCTCTTATGTATTTGTTGAAGAAATAAATAAAAACAAAGCTTTTCCTTGATGCCAAAGCAAGGATCAGATTTCACCACAAGCAGTGGCTGTTAGAACAGACAAAACAGCATAGACCCAATGCCTTAGGCCAACTAGCAAGTAAATAAAAATCTTGCCCTCAATGCTCACTGGGATAGAAAAAAGAAAAAAAGCTTTCAAGGGTTTCAGAAAAATGACATCCACATTTAAAAGCAGTGAATGAAATGTGTTCAGGCATGTAAAGAAACTCAAGATAGTTTTGCTAAACAGTGAAGCAATTGGAATGTACTTTTAATAGCATATATATAGCTATTATATGTATTATATATGGCTATTATACACACACACTTTTTTAAAAAACAAATGTTTTATGTTCTCCATTTGTAGGACCAGAATGTAATGTCTCTGGGCCCAAATAACTTCTGATTGTGCTTCATAATCTACATAGATTATCCTATGTTAAGGAAAAGGCTTGGTTTACTTTAAAGCAGGGGTCCCCAATCCCCAGGCATTAGCACCTGAGTTCTGCCTCCTGTCAGATCAGCAGTGCATTAGATTCTCACAGGAGCATGAACCCTATTGTGAACTGCACATGTGAGGGATCCAGGTTATGCCCTCCTTATGAGAATCTAACTAATGTCCCAAGAGTTTCATCCCCAAACCTTCCCCCAGACCTCACCCCGTCTGTCGAAAAATTGTCTCCCACGAAACCAGTCCCTGGTGCCTAAAAGGTTGGGGACCACTGCTTTAAAGGCAGAGGTCGGCCGGGCATGGTGGCTCACGCCTGTAATCCCAGCACTTTGGGAGGCCGAGGCGGGCGGATCACGAGGTCAGGAGATCAAGACCATCTTGGCTAACATGGTGAAACCCCGTCTCTACTAAAAATACAAAAACTTAGCCAGGCGAGGTGGTGGGCGCCTGTAGTCCTAGCTACTCGGGAGGCTGAGGCAGGAGAATGGCGTGAACCTGGGAGGCGGAGCTTGCAGTGAGCCGAGATCGCCCACTGCACTCCAGCCTGGGCGACAGAGCCAGACTCCGTCTCAAAAAAAAAAAAAAAAAGGCAGAGGTCGGGGTAGAGTGGGAGGTGCTCTAGATAAAAAGGCTTGGCTGTGGTGACCAAATGAAGCTAAGTAAGAGGACTGATCATGGCTTGCTTGTCAGAAGTTCTCCATCCCTCAGCCTTAATTAACTTATATGTGGAATGCATCTCCGCAAATGCTAAGTTATTAGGGAAATAGTCAATAAAATGCTTTTATCCCTACTGATAAGTAGGAAACACTACTGAAATGTTGATTGAACTTGAAATGGAGTTTAAAAATTCATTATTTAATCCTGTCAACATTTGAGTCACTTACTATTCATTTTTTTCATGTATAGATTTAGCTATCAAGCATTATATAGCTATATACCACAGAATGATGATGAGTTGGAACTCCGCGATGGAGATATCGTTGATGTCATGGAAAAATGTGACGATGGATGGTTTGTTGGTAAGAATCTCATCATGCTTTTCTTACTAGTTGTGTATTGAGGGAATAACAGGGGGTGAAGAGCCATGCAAAAAGCAAAGCAATCTTCTCTGCACAGAAAGAAGAGCCTTCTGAGCTTTTTACAACCTTGGGAATTCTGGGCCACCAGTCTGTGTTGCTATTAGGATGGTGTGGATGTTGCTTATGTTGAACCTGAAACCAAATCTGCTGCACAGAAGAGCAGTAGTCAAATTTATTAATTGGGTTTCCATTTATGTTTTATTTTTTTTATTTTTATTTATTTATTTATTGAGACAGAATCTCGCTCTGTCGCCCAGGCTGGAGTGCAGTGGCGTGATCTTGGCTCACTGCAACCTCTGCCTCCCAGGTTCAAGCAATTCTCCTGTCTCAGTCTCCCAAATAGCTGGGACTACAGGCACCTGCTACCACGCCTGGCTAATTTTTGTATTTTTGGTAGAGATGGGGTTTCACCTTGTTGGTCAGGCTGGTCTTGAACTCCTGATCTCAGGTGATCCACCCGCCTCGACCTCCCAAAGTGTTGGGATTACAGGCGTAAGCCACTGTGCCTGGCCCTAGTTTCCACTTACATTTATATTGTGCATGTGTCTATTTTGCATCTGGAAATTTTATCTTTAAAACCCTTGTGAAATAACACAAGAAAATTTTTGACTGACCCTGTGTCTCCACCATGAAACTCAGGCATATGTGTAGACATTCTAAAGACCTTGTTTCCTCCAGGCTTTCAGTAGTATTAATCAAAGCAGCCTGCTTAATTAAAGGATTTGCCTGTATAAGAAGGAGAGAGATCAAACTTATTGAGATTCTGTTACAAACCAGACACTGTGTTTGTTATGCTTTTATTGACGTTCTCTCAACAAACAGCCCAGTAAGATAAGAATTATCTTCATTTATCAGATTCGAAAACTGAGGCCCGAACAAGAAGATCACCAAGGTAGCAAATAGTGGGGCCAGGATTTGAACTCAGGCCACCCATCTCTCCTAAAATCTGTGTTCTTTCTGCTCAGGCATGCATATAATGTTGGGAGATATTGACCCACTCTTTGCCTCAGTTTCTCCCCATAGAAGTGACTTTACCTTCATCTTCTTTCCAAAGACCAGCCCTTCCCTGATTTTTCTGGCAAAGCTTTGTTAAAGCAAAGTAGTATCAGGACTGGGGTGGTGAGGACAGCAAGACCTCAACATGAATGAGAAGTCAGAAAGATTTACTTTGTGCTCACCAGCCTCTTAGAGAACTACCCCATCCTCCCAAGGTCCACAGAAGCCCACAGCCCTCACTACCTTGAGTCGTCTGTTCATTAGAAATCAGGTCTGAGGCCGGGCGCGGTGGCTCACGCCTGTAATCCCAGCACTTTGGGAGGCCGAGGCGGGTGGATCAAGAGGTCAGGAGATTGAGACCATCCTGGCTAACACGGTGAAACCCCGTCTCTATTAAAAATACAAAAAATTAGCCGGGCGTGGTGGCGGGCGCCTGTAGTCCCAGCTACTGGGAGGCTGAGGCAGGAGAATGGCGTGAACCCGGGAGGTGGAGCTTGCAGTGAGCCAAGATCGCGCGGCTGCGCTCCAGCCTGGGTGGCAAAGCGAGACTCCGTCTCAAAAAAAAAAAAGAAATCAGGTCTGAGAAGTCAATGACCACTCCAGGGCAGCACAATCCAATAGAAACACAGTGTAAGCTGTGTATGAAATTTAAAATGTTCTAGAAGCCCCATGGAAAAGAGTAAAAAGAAACCAGTGAAATTAATTCTAATGTATTTTGTAAACCCAGTGCGTTCAAAATGCTATCATCTGAACATGTAATCAATATTAAAAATTGTTAGTGAGTTATTTTACAGACATCTTTTCATACTAAGTCTTTGAAACCCAATGTGTATTTTATAGTTAACAGCGCCGCTCGTTTCAGACTAGCTGCATTTCAAGTGCTCAGTAGTCACACATGGCTATCATTTTAGAGAGTGCAGCGCTAGTAAGCACTAGCTGTTAAACTCGTTCAGCAGTATGTTTTTTTTATGAGAACTTAGGTGTGGGAAGGAGCACCAGTTCTCTAACAAAGGCCTGCCAGGCAGCTGGGTAAAGGAAGTATTTTGGGATGAGTATCTTCCTTGCATCCTTGAACTCTTCACTATTTTTTTTTTTTTTTTTTTTTGAGATAGAGTCTTGGTTTGTCACCCAGGCTCAAGTACAGTGGCATGAACTTGGCTCACTGCAGGCTCTGCCTCCCAGGTTCAAGCGATTCTCCTGGGTCAGCCTCCCAAGTAGCTGGGACTACAGGTCAGCATCACCACGCCTAGCTAATTTTTATATTTTTAATGGAGATGGGGTTTTACCATCTTGGCCAGGCTGGTCTCAAACTCCTGACCTCAAGTGATCTGCCTGCCTCAACCTCCCAAAGTGCTGGGATTGTAGGCGTGAGCCACCATGCCCAGCCTCCTTGGTCACTTCGAAAAGTAGCGTTTTCAAACTACAAATAAAGTAGCCTAGCGGAACTCATTTTTCTCATCCATAAAGGAAGATGCTAACTAGCTATGTGGCCCTAGGCAAGTTTCTTATTATCTCTGGACCTTACCATCTCAGTTCTCTAGCCTTCTTAGCCATTCTCCGTAGGAGTTCAACTAGATGTTTTAGGTGTCCTAAGCTTTAATATATTTTTTTTTAGCTTAGAAGTTTCACTTTGGGTACTAATTCCAACCCACTGGTAGTGGCTGCTTGAGATGTTGTGTGCAACAGGATTCCGAAGCCAAATCTAAGCCAATTGTGATAAGGGTGCAATTATCAAATTGGGATGTCTGCTAAAGAGAGGATAATGATGACACAACATATATCTGCCACTCCTGCTTTAGAGAGAGAATCCCAAGGGAAGGAACTAGATTAAGGATCAGCAGTGCTGCCTGTGGAGCAGCCCAGGAAGGGCTTTGTTCCCAGATGGCTCAGTGCTCCTGGCTTAGCAGGAGCCCTAACAAGGTTAGTACCAAAGATAGGGACTCAACTGGGGTCTTAGGCACAAGCTTGATAGGAATTTCCTTTTGATTGGTGGCCATAGTCAGTGGGCTTTCAGAAACTGCATGGTCTAGGAAATCTAAATCCCAGGTATCTTCTTGTGTCAGATAAATGTGTGAATTCCTCCAGAAAGCAGAAGTGTTGGAAAGAGCAATGGACTGGGAGTCAGAAGACCTCGGTTCAGATTCTGCCTCTGATACTTACTAAGCGGTGGAACCTCAGACATGTTACTTCCACTCTCTGAACCTGGGTTCCTTCTTCTGAAAAACAGGAGTACTAGAAATGCCTACATTGCTTACCACCCAGCATTATTTGGCAGCCTAAGTGAGATAAGGTAGGGGAAAGGACTTTGGAAACCATATGGTGTTCTCTAAGCTGCAGGACTGTTAACAAGGGGCGTTTGAGCAGACATCCCTGCAGCGTGCTGTCTCAACTCAAGTGAGTGGGTCTTCTCACGTTTCGTATGTGTGTGCTTTTTTATAGGTACTTCAAGAAGGACAAGGCAGTTTGGTACTTTTCCAGGCAACTATGTAAAACCTTTGTATCTATAAGAAGACTGAAAACCATGGAGATTATTTTTATTGGAGGATGAAGCATCATTCCTGAACCGATCTTTTTAGTTGAGTCAGTAGGAAAATTAATACAGTGGATAAAGTAAGAAGCAACAGACAGGGGCAGAGAAGTGTTGTGTTTAAAACCCAAGCCTGTCTAAGGTTACTGTGTATTAGACAGGGCTGAAACTAGTGTGCTGAACAAAAAGAATTGAGACAAATTGTATTTACTTAGCCACTTCTGGGAGCCACTCCAGCCTTTCCCCTCCCCTCCACCTCTTGGGTAATCTGACCTGAAGCATAGTCTGGGATCAGAGTTAGCCAGAAATGCCTCCTCCTGCCCCAGCCTTACAGAGCTCCCATCTCAAAGAAATCATTGATCCTGAAGGCTTCAAGCCCAAGGATGCACCAAGACCCCCAGCCTACATTTCCCAGCTCCCCTGGAGCCAGCTGATCCTCTAACTGCTGGAGGTCAGTCTGGGCTGCCAATACTGTCCCCTAGACAAAGGTGGAGTCCCCCAAACTGCCCCAAGACCAAATCCCTCACTCAACCTGCTGAGGTGTGGATGGGGAAACGGAGGCAAAACTTAGGCGCCCAATGCATTCAGCCTGCTGTGTAGCAGTGCCGTTGACTGCCCTGGTGTTCAGACAGAAAAGCACACAAGGTTTGCCCATGAGAACTGGGGAGCAGATGGCCAAGCAGATAGGTTGTGTCTGTTTTCTGACTGATGAAGTCAGGAAGCCCTGTGGCTCTGGAGGCCACTTGTGGTTCATTCTTTTCCCATATCCTTGGCTTTTAGAAATGGTTACCTTCAGGACAGCGCAGCTGCATTTTTCAGAGCACTGTTGCTAACCTTTCTTTTCTGGCTTGTGTTTGCCTGGGACAGTTTGGAATTGGAAGGCCTATTCTCATAGAAAACCAAAAATGATGTTCATTCATTCATTTAACATACAGCAATATACGCTGGCTGCTGGGGGGACAACCAAAAGCAAGACATGCCCAGGGTTTGCTGTGGCTCCAGATCTACTCCCTGTAGGAGTTCAAGGATCACACAAAATGTAGTAACCAGGGTTGTGAATCTGAGTACACCCTGGCAAGGCTTCTCTTCAGACTGAAGCAGCAATTCTGCCACTACCAGCGGCAACCAGGACGTCTGTTCTTTGTGGGGGCCAGATCAGAAGAGAGAGGCCCCTGTGACATCTGGGGTGCGTGGTCACAGCTCTGTCCAACTCAAGGACGTTTATCGGCCTCTCTTAGACCCCCGAGTGAGACAAATGCAGAAATGACCCATTCCCTGCCCACCAGGAACTCGAGGTGATTGGGGAGACAGACACAGGAAAATGAACTTAATCAAGAGAGACCGTGATAAGTGCTGAGAAGGGCGTGAGGGAGGAAGAGATGAATTTTCCCTGGAGGAATCCTAGAAAGCATTGTCATATTTCCATCTCCATTAGCTCACTTTTAAACAACTAGGGTGCTGGAAGAACCTTTGTCTGAGGGTAGTTCATAGCTGGAAATACCTGGAATATTTTCCAGAGTCTCCAAACTGTCATCTCCCCCCACAGATACACATCCAAGCTCACAAATAGGAGTAACAATTATAGGTGGTAGGGTTGTATACAGGAAGCCCTGGCTGTCTGCATATAGCTCAGAATTACCCCAGGACCATTGTCCCAAAGTCTAAAGTCTTTACAGGTAGGCAAAATTTGTTTTCAATGCCTGTGGCTCAGCTGCTGTCACAAATACCCATCTTAGGATCCCACCAGCTTCCCACCCTCCACCAGACAGCCGCAGTACCCTCACTTTCTCCCTATTGTTCTTTCAAATCCTGTTCTCAGGAAAGAAACTGCCACTAATTCATTCACACTAAAGTGTAAGTGATTGATAATAGGAATGAGTTACCTCTTCCCACAGACATTTGTTTTTAAGTATGACAGAGCAGGGCCTTAATCCCAAGGGAAAAGGCTATGGCACTGGAGGGGGTGAGCTTTCTGGGTAGAAGGAGACGTCCTGATTTTCCTTAAGACCCAGTAAGAGTAAGACGTCTTGCTTTGGAAGGTCTGCTCCACCATCTAAGAGCACTGGTTTTTTGTTGTTGTTGTTGTTGTGTTTTTTTTTTTTTACTGTCTCTGAGGGAATATAGTAAAAATGCATATGCACGTGCAATTTGCACGGCAGCATTTCACCGATTTTGGAATGTATTGGCTAATGTATTTCCTGGTCTTTAGATGCAAACGATTAATAACACTATCTTATCTAATAGTTTTTTGAGGGGTGCTTCTTGATTAAGTAGGTAATTTTGAACACCTCTTTAAATACAGCTAGAAAATAAAACCAATTCGTAAGGCCACATTTGCATATGATGCCAGCCTCACGCATTTGTATATCTCCAGAAATTCAGGTATGCCTCACCAATTTGCCCGTCTTTAATGAAATCATGTGTTAAAATTTGCATCACGTCGCCTTCCTATGTATGATGAAACAAGGAACAGAGGTTTCCAATTGCTCTTTTGTCTTCAGACATTTAGTAATATAAAGTACCTATTTTTATGCTGAAATGTTTATACAGGTTTATTAATAGCAAGTGCTACTAACTGGCGGCATGCCTTGCAACACATTTTGATATATTAGCCATGCTTCCGGGTAAAGGCAAGCCCCAAACTCCTTATCTTTTGCAGTCTCTCTGGGATCAGTAAAAGGAAAAAAAAAACATCATGTGCTTAAGAAGTGGGACTGTAAATATGTATATTTAACTTTGTATAGCCCATGTACCTACCTTGTATAGAAAAATAATTTTAAAAATTTGAATGGAAGGGGGTAAAGTAAGGAAGTCATGAAGTTTTTTGCATTTTTATTTAAATGAAGGAATTCCAAATAACTCACCTACAGATTTTTAGCACAAAAATAGCCATTGTAAAGTGTTAAAATTTATGGTAATTATTCTATTGGGGAGGGAAGGTAACTATGATCTCAGTTATAGTTTTTTTTCCTTTTTAATTTCATTATTTTGGTTTTTTGGTTTTTGCGGTCCTATTTATCTGCAGTCATATTAAGTCCTATTGCTAGAATAGGTTACTACAAAAAAGATTATATTCTGAAAGAAAAATAACTGACATATATAACCATTTAATTTAAAGTATTGCCATTTAAATTACACACTGAGAGCATGTCCTATGCAGACATAGATTTTTCTGTTCGTTTATTTTTCTTCATTGCAGTGGATTGATTTGATAAATAGATGTGTTGAATTACTACATTTGCTGTACATATTATTTAATAAACTTTATTCAGAATTGCGTGGCATATGTTTGTTCTGGTCATTCATTGTTTCTTTCCTTCCTTTGCCAAGCTTCTCAAATGAGGCTTAAATTCACTGCTTCAATTTCTCATACCGTCCTTTCCATTCTTAATCATTTACCATCTGCCTTCTGCCACCTCCTTGAAGACACCACTTCTTACCTTTTTTCTGAATAACCAAACTCCTGACCCTCTGAATTAATTGATTACTGTTGACCATTTTGCCATTATTTCTAAAATATGTTTGTATTTGTTCTGATAACAAAAGTAATGCACAAATGTCTTTAAAAACAAAAGTAAAACATTATAAAATATGTATAACGGGTCTAGATTTGCTGTGTAAAACATGGGTATGGGAAATGACATAGCACTTTGTTTTTCTAAATAAAATTAATCTGGCTGTGAGTCCTCTCTTGGTATGGGTGGGCGAAAATGCAATCTGTCCTTTTTCTCCTCCAAACCAAATGTGTTAAGGCACTAGGCATGCAGTCTCCCCTGGCATCCCATGGCTACAACTACCGCCATCTTAGTCTGGGATGGGGTCTGCTGTACATGAGGCACGGATCTGTCCCCTAATAGGAAAGCTCACACCTCTACCCTCTCTCCCTGGGTTCTGTCCTCCACCTCCAACTAAATGCACCAGTTTGCAATGCTGCCTCTGGAGTAACTCGGTGTACCTGGGCCTCAAACAGGTGTAGGAGAGGGGCCTAACAGTCTCTTCTTTCAAGGGTCTGACAGTCTTTAACACTAGGCCCTGAATCACAGGCCCTATGAACCCTTGTCTCCAACAAATCCGTCAGCTTACCTCCTAACTACTTTTAGAAGCCAACCACTTCTACCATCATAGCCCAAGCCGTTTTCTCTCACCTGGATCATTGCAATAACTTTCTAACTGGCTTCCCTGCTTCTGCTCTTGCCCCCTCTAGTCTTGTCTAGACAGAGCAACCAGAGTGATCATCTAAATGTTGGTCCAAAACCCTCTAGTGGCTTCTCATCTCGCTAATGTGGTACAATGGCAAGTCTGTAGACATACTGCTCCTCCCCTCCCCCGACCCCTGAATTATCTCCTTCATTCCAGCCACACCGCCCTCTTTGTGGCCTCAGACTCATTAAGCACATTTGAGGTTTAGGGTCTTCATGTTTGCAATCCCCTGGAAGGCCCTTTCCCCAAGAGCTGCATGGTTTTCTTCCTCCTTTAGGTCTTCCTGTTGTCTTCTCAATGGGGCTTTCTGTGACTACTTTACATACATTTAGGAAACTAGTGTCCCCACCCACTGCGTTCCATCCCCCTCTTCCTGCTCTGTTTCTCCATAACACTTACCACCATCTGAGATTTGTCTTCACAAGCAATCCTGTAAAGTTGGTGGGATTAGTGACTCTGCTTTGCTAATATATGCCTGGCACCAAGAAGAGAGTCTAATGTGGCACTCAATCCTTTGTTGGTCAAACAAACGGATAAAGAAGCCCTTGAGACCAGAGATCCTAGAACTCAGAATATGTTCTACCAACAATGAAAGAAGGGAAACCATTTTCTTACAGTGGCAGAAACAACGAATTAATCTTTCATATTATGCTGGTTTCATACAAACATAGAAAGTGAAAGTTCTGCGTAATAACACTCCTCACAGAGATCACTCCAATATATGGTCCTCCCAGCTTGCTTCTCTACACATACTAAACACACATGTCTCTAAAATGCTTTATGTAGTCTCATACACTTTTACTTTCCTTTGGTAGAACTTGGATGTATTTCCATAACTTACTTAACCCATCCTCTATTGATGATGCAAGTATTTGAGGTTATTGCCAGCTTTTTACCACAACAAACAATGCTGCTTTGAGTAGAATTATTGGCTCATAGAGCAGGAACATTTCAAACCTTAAGAGATTTCCAAATTGCCTTCCCAAAAGTTCCAATTATACTCCCATCAAGTCCATGGAACTGTGTTTCCCACCACCCAGTTAAAACTCCTACATTGTCTGCTTCCATGAATTGCTGCTCCTTGGTTCACCTGCTTTTGGCTGGCCAGCCCCTTCTTCATCCTCTTTCTAGATCTTCACTGCATTCTCAGCCCTCTGTTATTTTCTCTCAATACATGCTCCTGCGGAGAGCAGATCTCTCCCAATATAATTATGGCCCAAAGAGTCAATTGTGGGAAGGCCCTTTCAGTGATTAAATGGTAGACGCCTAGGCTGGGCATGGTGGCTCACTCCTGTAATCCCAACACTGGGAGGCCGAGGTGGGTGGATCACCTGAGGTCAGGAGTTCGAGACCAGCCTGACCAATATGGTGAAACCTATCTCTACTAAAAATACTAAAATTAGCCGGCCGTGGTCGTGCGCCTGTAATCCCAGCTACTCGGGAGGCTAAGGCAGAATTGCAGGAACCCACGAGGCAAAGGTTGCAGTGAGCTGAGATCGCGCCACTGCATTCCATCTCAAAAAAACAAAAACCAAGGTTGCAGTGAGCTGAGATCGCGCCACTGCATTCCATCTCAAAAAAACAAAAACCTAACACTACTGCATTGGCTGAGACATACCAAAAGGCGCTGGAACTAGCCTCAGTCAGGGGTTAATCCAAAGACTCAAACTCTCATCAGTATTTGTCTTATTCTTGGCGTTTTGTTTGGCTACATTTTCACCTACTGAATGCCCCAGTGGGAAACATGGTTGCAGGCTGCTCCAGCCTCCTTCTTCCAGCTCTCTGACTCCAAATTCTCAAGGCAAAAGTACTTTCCTATTTGGCTTTCCCTGAAAACAACTCCAGATGCTGGCAGGCCCAGTCTGGATATTTACCCTTCCCTAGACCAATCACTTTGACTAAAGAGGCAACTTTAGTTGTAAAAACCTTTGTGGCTTTTGGCTCGGCATGGCGACTCACACCTGTAATCCCAGCACTCTGGGAGGCCGAGATGGGTAGATTGGCAGCTCAACCAAAACCTCAAAGAATGAGGGAGAGGAATGGCCGGGGGAGGGGGTGTCTGCTCTAAGAAGGGGAAAAGGAAGCCGGAGAGAGAACTCAATTGTCCACTGGACTTGGAGAGTTATTGTAACACACTTTGAAAATGGAACACTATTGTCCTGTCCCAGTATAAACTTCAGTGTAGCTGAAAGCAGGCTATGTGCTGAAGTTTTGCTAGCCAGGGTCTTGACAAGAATAGAGTGGGAGGAGAAATCCCAGAGGAGGCGGCCAATGTGACCAGGGGTGCACAGCACAACCGTATCTCATGCTAAAAATATCAGGACTCTAATGGAAGGGAACCAAGTTAATGTCTCAGAAGTCACAGAGGATGTTTGGATGAGTTGTACATGGGAGTATTTTTCCAAGTCTTAGCACATAGACACCACCACACCTGTCTCAGGAACACTTAACCAAGATCTTTTAGGACAAATCAAAGAACTTATCACTTAATACAGGTAATTTTTGGAACAAATTAGCCAACAAAGTGGTTCAGATTGAAAATATTATAGAACATTTAAGATAAATCCATAGATGCAAAAATCCATAATGAGAAGTTGTGAACGACCGTGTGACACTATGAAGTCTGTCCCGGAGGACAACTGCACTGGTCTTCCAGAACCCTCACTCTGGCCTTGTCAGGGGCAAAATACTGAGTAGATTAAGAGTCTCTCTACCCTTAGGGTTTACTTGTTTTTCAAGTAATATCTGACAAACAGACGAATCTGCAAAAGGGAGATCAAATCATCTTCAATAGTAGCATAATGTAAATTGATGATCTCAAAGCATGGTTCATGGTCCCTTTGGAATCTCCAAGCCCTTTTGAGAGATTCATAATGTCAAAACTATTTTCAAATCATGTGAAGGTACTTGTGGTAGTCAGTGTCCAAAGATGCCTCCAGTCACCGTAACCTCCTGGTATTCAGGCCCTTGTGTGGTCCCCTTCTCCATTCTATCAGGATTGGTCTGTGTGACCAGTAGAAGGTCGCAGAAAAGTGCAACTTCCAAGGTAAGGTTGTAAAATCCTTTGTGGCTTTTGGCCAGGCATGGTGACTCATGCCTGTAATCCCAGCACTCTGGGAGGCCAAGGTGGGTGGATCACCCAAGGTCAGGAGTTCGAGACCAGCCTGGCCAACATGGTGAAAACCTGTCTCTACTAAAAAGACAAAAATTAGCCGGGCATGGTGGTTGGGAGCCTGTAATCCCAGCTACTTGGGAGGCTGAGGCAGGAAAATCGCCTGAACCTGGAGGCAGAGGTTTCAGTGAGCCGAGATTGTGCCACTGAAAAAAAGAAAAAAGAAAAAGCTTTGTGGCTTTTGTCTCATGCTTGGATCACTCACTTGGGGAGGAGTGGACTACAGTTTAGAACTTCTGGCCGGGCGCGGTGGCTCACGCCTGTAATCCTAGCACTTTGGGAGGCCTAGGCAGGCAGATCATGAGGTCAGGAGATCGAGACCATCCTGGCTAACACGGTTAAACCCTGTCTCTACTAAAAATACAAAAAATTAGCCGGGTGTGGTGGCGGGCACCTGTAGTCCCAGCTACTTGGGAGGCAGAGGCAGGAGAATGGCGTGAACCCGGGAAGTGGAGCTTGCAGTGAGCCGAGATCGTGCCACTGCACTCTAGCCTGGACAACAAAGAGAGATTCCGTCTCAAAAAAAAAAAATAGAACTTCTAAGTTCTGGTATTTTGTTGTTTTGGATAAACGCACGAATTCTTGAAAAAAGGAGAGGTATTGGAAAGAACAATGGGCTGGCAGTCTGAAGACGTGAGTTCAAAGACCTCTTAGGCTTACCTACTTTGTGAGACCTCAGAAATGCCACATAGGCTGTCTGAGTCTGAGTTTTTTCATTTAGGAGGGAAAGATGCCTGGACCAAAGTGAGGTTCTTCTAGGAAGGAGGAAGAAAAAGAAATTTGGAAGGCAACCTGCAATGTCCACATCAGAGCTCCCCAATCTTTCTATTGCCTACTGTATACCAGCACTTTCCATGCATTATCTTTTAATACCACCTCGGTGAGGAAAGTATTCCTATCTCCATTGACAGA